CACCACTGTCAATAGCAACAGAGATCTTCTCTTTTTGGCCATGGCATAACTTGCATACTATACGATTGTCAACAATCAAGATGAGACGTAACACATACATCTCAAAAAAGTTTAGAACTGAGCTAACCAAGCAAGCTCAATCTGGAAACAGAGTTCATGTGCCACTGTACCTTCCCCTTCCCCCAGTTGGGACTACCCTGTATTCTTATGACCCAGAGACTGTCCATATCTTTCTAGATTCACAAGTATCTCTCCAACAAAAGCTGCTGGTTTTTATATCACATTTTGTATATGTACATTCTTGGTTCATGGGCAGAGGGAGGATCAAACCACATGTTAAATGTGTTTATTTGCTGCTGTTACATCCCCTTTCTTCTAGACATACAGCTTGTTCAAAATGCCATGCCTGAGTAGTTACACTTACAAGATAGAGAGTGAGGCATCCTTTTTAAAAAATATTTTGTGGGAGCTCTGCTTCTAACAAAATGCTAACTTTATTTAGTTTGCTCCTGAGAAAGAAATGCACTGGGATAAATGATTCTTATTTATTCAAAGGATTATAGGTCAAAAATAATGCTGAAAGGAAAACATTTCTAGTAGTTTCTGCCATCGCCAGATCTATTTCCAGAAAGATTCCATCTCCATCATACCTACTGCCAATCCAAACTGATTTGATTAGATGGTGAAATCAATCCAAGATAATGAGTCTTGCATGTAATATTTCGGGACACGGGGAAGATGCTCAAAAGGAGCACATTCATGAAATATGGAAATGAAAATGGATGTGGTGAAAAGTGTGCTATTTCACCACATGCTGAAGATATTAGTCAATATTTAAATAGGACAGAACTCTGAGGTCATCATGGGATTTTTAAAAAAGGTGCTGACAGCTGGCACAAGCAAACATTTATCTCTCCCATCAGATCCTAAGCCAATGTGTTTTTAGGGAACTGCTTAGAGAGGTCTTCTGGAATTCTATAAATGCTGTTGAATACTCCCCATGGCCTCAAGTAAGATCTGAATGGGATATACATATATCAGATAATCATGCCTTAAATTGTGTATTTCCTTCAAAAATCAAATGCCACTTTCAGATTCCAGTAACTATCCTCAAGTGTTCAGTTCAGCAGAAGTTTTGGATTTTTGCACCCTATCATTATTCTATATTTGCTCTTTCGGCAGCTGAAGAACAGTAGCCATATGCTCTATGTACTGTGGAGGACAGGAAACTGCAAAGATAGAAATTAAATTGGAGAGGACACTACCAGTGACCCATGGTCTAATAGATTAATTTTTTCACAGTAGAAGACAAGGGGAAAGAGAAGTTTCTGTTCCTGATATTGTGTATAGTACAGTACTCAATTTCACTGTTGCTTCTGGTAAATAGGTTCCACAGGTTTTGTATTGTTGTAAAAGCTCTGTAAAATTTGTTCATCCGAAGGCAATGATAGGATAAGAGGAAGAGTTGTGTTCCTTATGGGAAGCAAAGCTGTGATTTGCAGTCTTATCTGCAGTTTTGTGGTTTGTTTCCACTGCAAATGGTAGTCTATCTGCAGAGAAGAATACAGATTTTGAAACGCTTTCCTCCATAATATATGTTAGAAGTGTTCTTAGAAGTTACAGTGAGTTGAATCTACGAGTATAGCATTAATATAAGAATTTTAATATTTCTACATAATGGAAAAATCATCCTTAATCTTAAAATGGAATATTCACCATAGGGAAAGAAAACACACAAATAAGTTAAGGTGAAGGGCAGAAAAATAGTTTAGAGAGTGTTTTCCTGTTTAAATTCAGGATTTTAAAAAAGAGGAGATCATTTGTATTGACTATAACTAAAGTATATTTGCAAGTCCTTTTTAAAAAGAATCTGATACCAGGATCAGTGGTTACATCTCTGGCTCTACTCCACTGGGTTTGGGAGGTTCTCAGTTGCCCTACATATGGCTCACTCCATGTCCTTGATTCTCTGTGTAGCATTTGGTGGCGATGGGGAGACTGTGATACTGATGGCAGGACAGAGTCCTTTAGCTACCTTAGTTATGTGCACCTAAAACTGGATTCAACCCACCACCACCATTATTAATTGCTTATAACTTTCCAAGATGTTGAGTTCAGTTCCTGTGCTCTATGGCAGTGGTCCCCAACCTTGGGCCTCCAGATGTTCTTGGACGTCAACTCCCAGAAATCCTGGCTAGCAGAGGTGGTGGTGAAGGCTTCTGGGAGTTGTAGTCCAAGAACATCTGGAGACCCAAGGTTGAGGACCACTGCTCTATGGAATGAGGATTGGTTGGCTGGCTGATTGACTGATTTCATTAACTTTTGTTGTTGTTCTTTCTTTTAGTTGTTCTGAAGTCTTATATGCTATGTTGGGAGATAGTGATAGACCAGTTTAATTGTTTTCATTGTTATTTCTGTCATCATCATCTCCTGCTTCTTAACTAGCTTCTTAGTTACCACAAGAGTCTCTTAACCTGAAGAAAAGACAGACTTATACTTTTCCAGATAGGAAGACAATATGATACAGAGGAAAGGGATTTAACATCCATTAAAATGCACATGTACAGAGACTACACCATGTACTCAGTCTATGTAAGCTGGGGATGAGGACACCTTAAGAAAGGTCCTTCGACTGAGACATGGGTAGGGTTGGATGAGATAGTGGGACCTTTTTTTTGGCAGAGAGAAGCTCTGCTTCTAGGGCTGTGGAGGCAAACTTCTTTTGGCTCGAGTGCCCAAAATGAGGGGGTGGGGAAGAAACCAATGGCTGCCGTGCCGCCCAGAAGATCAGAACCGGAACAGGAAGTGGCAGTTTCAGGGGGAATCATGAGGACGGAAGTTAAAGGGGGAATCAGGAAGTTAAAGGACCCAGAACAGGAAGACAAATGGGGAGGGCAACTCACTCATGTGCCAGAAGAAAGGGCTTTGCGTGCCAGATGTGGCACGCATGCCATGGGTTCGCCATCACTGGGGAACCGTGTTCAGCTGGGAAAGGTGTCTCTGCTACTGAAAGCTCTAGAGTGAAATTGCAATACTGGCAATTTTCCTGCTAGCTTTAGATCGACAAAGGGAGCATTTCTAAGATGAGACAGAGGTGACAACTGGTGCCCTGTGCTAGGCTGGAGAAGGATACAGCTTACTATCTTGCCTGAGTGGCAGTAAGTTCTTTTGAATGTGCAAGACAGTAAACACACTAGTGATGAAAGGTTACAAAACTTTTCTTAAGAAGACAATGAAATAGGAAAAAAACACAGTAGAAAAATCACACAGAAGGAATGATCATGAGGTAGCAGCAACAATATGGTACAAAGTACTAGCTTAAAATAATTCAGCAAAGAATAGCAGCAATTCAGCAAAATAGTGCAAAGTAATAAAATAGAAGCAAAATAAATGAGATACGACCTGCACCATTTCTGCTTGCCAGAAGCCCCTGGAGAACAGCAGCCAGTGGTTCCAAGGGGTTTTAACAGCACCAAGCTGGGAATGGCCTGCACTTAATACTACCCTAACAAAGACTTTTGGGACCTCATATACTTTTACTGCTGTTGACACCGACACACCAGCTAAAACCACAATCCATTCATTCTAAACTGGCAGAATGATAAGAGAGCAACTCATTAATTGGTACTGTGGTAAGAAGATGAATAATAATCATGGGCCTTCAAGACAATTCTGACTTATGGTGACCCTTTTTCAGGGTTTTCCAGGTGGAAAATACTCAGAAATGGTTCACCATACCCTTCTTCTGAGGAACCCTGGGGCCATGGAGCTTGCCAATGGGCACATAGGCTGGCCTTATTTGCAGGAGGCACAGTGGGGAATTGAACTCACAATCTTTGGCTCTGAAGACAGATACCTAAACCACTGAGCTATCCAGCCAGCCAAGAAGATAATTACTAAAGGGCAAAATGATAACAGAGATTCTTCAAAGCAGCTAATTAATGGCACAGTGGTATCATCTTATACTCACAGCTCCAGATGCCTAAAGTTAGGCCTTGGCTTAATACAAACATGGCCTTGATGCTGCCCTTAGACTGATGCAAGTGGGATAAAAACATATCTTTTCCAGACAAAGCAAAGTGTACTGCTTATATACCGCCCCATAGTGCGTCAAGCACTCTCTGGGCGGTTTACAAGTTAATTACGCAGGCTACACATTGCCCCCCCCCCAGCGAGCTGGGGACTCATTTTACTGACCTCAGAAGGATAGAAGGCTGAGTCAACCTTGAGCTGGCTACCTGGGATTGAACCCCAGGTGTGAGCACAGTTTTGGCTGCAGTACAGCAGTTTAACCACTGTGCCACGAGACAATAATTTTTTTGGTCATGCAGAGGGCATGAGAAGAGAAGCAGAGCTGTGAAACATAACCAGCTTCTAGAAGAGACTGTAATAAAGGAGCAAAGATGGAAAACGATGGACAAAAGCAAGCTTGGACACAGATAAAACTTTGGTGCATACCACTAAAGCTCTTTGTTATGACAAAAGTCTTCCGTGTTGATCCTACACTAACCTATGTTACCAAACACACCTATGGAATGATGACACACAGCCCTATAATCATAAAAGTACTTAGAATACAATTCTACCACAAAAAGGAATTGCATTATCTCAGAATCTTGCAATCACAATGTAACTTACATATCTGTCTGTGACATTGATTTCTCACCTTTCCTTCAATGAGCTCAAGACAGCATTCATGGTCTTCTTCCTCCTCACTTTACAACTACTCTGTGTGGTTGGTCAGACTCGGAGAAAGACTGAACACCCAGAGTCTGACCAGCTGCACAGATACATCCGAATAAATTTCATGGCACAGTGTGTATCTCCCAAGTCCCACTCCAGCACACTAACTAGTATACCACAGTGGTGTCATTGCAAAAAGGAGTTAAGAACAGATGATACATTTTTGTAATTAATTGCACCCAAGCTCTGCTATGGCAGGAGTGAGACCAGTGATATTTGTCATACTAATTTTAGCTGTTTTTGTTCCTTCCCTCTAGGTGTGGTTCGTCAAGTAAAGCCCATAATTGGCCCTTTTTATGCCACCTTGAAGCTGGAGATGAACTATGTTGTAGGAGGGGTTGTCTCGCACCGTAACATTGTCAACGTGTACATCTTTGTTTCAGAATACTGGTTTTGATTGGGCCAACTATTTTGATGGAAGCAGGAGAGATTGTAAGAGAATGCCACAAACCCACAGAAATGTGTACACTTCTTTGGATGAGCTGGGGTGGATGAATAAGGCAAAATAACCTTCTTTTCAAAGAACGTATTTGGTTTATCTTTGAATTAAAGGACAAATAGCAAAACTATCTAAAATAGTAGTAAGATGGAGCAATATCCTTGAGTCCAGTCTAGTCATATTTTGTATATATAATTATATAAATAGCATGTTTAGAAGCTCTGACCTCCCACTGAGTTTTAAACCTTGCTGATTGGTTTGTAGAAGTCTGTATGACAGGATGCTGCATGCAAGATTTGGCAGGATGAAAGCCCACTCCCAGTTTTGTAGAATACTGCATCTATTAACATTTGGTACTCTGTATATTCTCCCGTGAAGGGAGTGGGTGTGCTGCAGTGTCTCACAACCTACTTTCAAGTGTCCAGTGTGTGCATGCATTTACACACATATTTTAGGGTCTCATTGAAAAGAACTGAGGTCACAAAAGCACCCATTATATAAGTTACTTGGGAGTATTAAACACTGTTATGCCTGGGGTACTGAGGCCATAAATGATTTCAAAAAAAAAAAGCTCTCACTGAGTAATACATCATTTATTTGATGGAGATATAGTAGCCTAGTCCAAGCTTGGAAAAGTTGTAGCCCAAGCTACAATTACAACAGCCCTCCAGCTTGCACAACTCATAGCCATGGGAAATGAATTCCACAAACTAATGTTTCCAAGCAGCCTGGTCTAGAAAAGTACTGATTGGAGCATATCAAATGGCCTTGAGCATCTTCTCTAAAGTTACATATTCTGAAATTTTAGAACTGATTGGGAGAACATTCATGAATTAGAAATTTTGTATCCGTGACAGCCACATGAATTAACAATTGAGGGCATTACAGATATAATAATTTATAATGATAAAAATAATCTTAGAATTGCAGAGCTGGAAGGCGCCCTATGGATCATCAAGTCTGGTCACTGTCAAGGAGGCACAGTGGGGAATTGAACTCCTATCCGCTGGCTCTGCAAACACAGACCTAAACCACTGAGCTACCTAGCAGTTCAGATATCATCTTCCTACAGATGTAGACAATAATCCTTTATACAGTTTTGTTGCGCTTGTTTCTTACACCAGTATTGTAGAAGATTTGTTTATTATAATTATTATTATTATTTTAGCACTGATTTCAATAGAAAGAAGAAGCATTCATAGTTTGGGAAATTGTTTCCGAAGTGGCGGGTGATATGACAGACCCATTGTTCCCACGGTCCCATTTTGCCAGAAGTTTAGCATCACTAACAGATTTTGCAAATTACTGAAGCAATATGAAAAGATACCCAGCCTGTCAACAGAGACTAAGTTAAAATGCATACTATATAATCTGGGTCTAGCCTTAAACTGACAGCTAGGGGCACCCAAAATAATTCTGTTTGCAGTACTGAATTAAAAAATGTAACCAGATGTGGATTTTGCTCTGTGCTGACACATAAAAAGAAAAATAGAATTTGCATTTTCAGGTAGTGCTATTGCTAGACTAAATATGGTGTCTGACAATATTACAAAGGGGCATCCACCCCAGTACAGAAAATAAAATTAGAACTTATAATATTGTGAGCATTCAAAGAATTTTGTGTAGAGAATTGCTGCTTTCTTTCAAGTGCTACAGTTGCTCATAAGAGGGATGGGAAGAATTGTGTGCTAGGCTTTCTGTGTATCAAACGTAAGTGTGAACCAACAATGTAGAGACTCCCTTTAATAAATGAATGTTGTGTGTATCAACAGTTTCTCACAATAATGTATCATTTTTCTCATGAAAATGAAAATAAACTATTTCAATTTTGGTTTTCTTATTTTTACCAGTGGCTTATACAGTTGCTTTTAATATATATATAATAATGGGGTATCATTTGCAACATACATGATAAGAAATAAGCTAGAGAGAAAGGTGTTTGGAGAAAGTGCAGAGACAAAGAGCAGGCTCAAAATCAGAAGGGAATATAATAAATCATTGAGGATCACCAGCTATCTATCACTCAAAGATAAATGGACATCATCGAATCATAGAATCATGAAGTTGGAAGAGACCTATAAGGCCATCAAGTCCAACCCCCTGCTCGAAGCAGGAATTCAAATCAAAGGAGATCTGCTCGGTATTTGTCTAAGTTTCTCATCAATGTCCCACCACCCCTCGAGGTAATTAAAAGGGCGCTTTAAGGGAGTCGAGGTAATTGGTTCCACTTTTGTGCTGCTCTAACAGGAGGTGGTTCTTGATATTCAACCAAAATCCAGCTTCCTGTAACATGAGCCCATTGTTGCATGTCCTGCGCTCTGGGATGATAGAGAACAGATCCTGCCCCTTCTGTGTAGGACAGCCTTTTGAATATTTGAAAAGTGTTGTCATATTACCCCTCTGTCTTTTTTTTTCTTGACATTCAGGCAAGAAAACAGTATAAGCCTATTGACCTAATCTTGCTCCTAAAAGGCTCCAGATACTGCAAGGTACTAACTCTGAGCCTGTCAGGAGTGGAAAAGGTGCAGTCCTCCAGCTATGGTGGGATTGCAGCACCCTGGTATTCATCACCATTGGCCATGTTTGCTGGGGCAGATGGATAGCTGCAGTCTCACCTCATCTGGAGGGCTGTACTCTGCTCACCTCCTGTTATAAATGCTCAATGCCTCCCTCTGGTATTTTAGAAATGGAGAATTCTGACGTTAGAAACAAATTTCATGGAAGTGCACATTCAGTAGGATTGTCCATAATAAGCATTATGTGCTAAACAGAAGTATATAGAAGATCCCCCTACTTAACATAATTATGGAGGAGGTGTTCATGTGCATACTAGTATCAAAATTTCAGGGCAATGACATTTTAACAAATAAAAGAAAAAGAAACTATACTGTTTCCTCAGACAACTTCTCTGTCAATTGCTATCAACTCATAATTAGGAACAGAGGAAGATGCTTTATATGGAATCAAACTATTGGTCCTTCAAGCCCAGTAGCCAGTTCTGACTGGCAGTAGCTGACAGAATTCGTTCCCTGACCTATCTGGAAATCCTTCACATTACCCAATGATCTCACATCCAGGTATGAACCAGGCCCAATCCTTAGTTTATCTTCCATATAGAGATGGACACAAAGTACTTTGTGCCCCTTCATCATAAGTTGTCTGCATGGTAACAGAGCTGCTGCACATTCCTTTCCTCCCACCCCCTCACTGGCAATTCCACTCAGCAGCCAGCGCGCTGTTCCATCCCTCCCTTAACTTCTCTGCCTCCTCCAGCAGCTGGATACTCAGATGAGCAGAGCTGCCCTTAGATAGGGCAGGGATTCCTACAGTGCTGCTTTTGAGTGGCCAGCTGCTGGAGGAGGCAGAGAAGAGAAGTCCAGGCTCCTACCCAGACAGGAAGATCATGTGATGGAGAGGGATGGAGCAGTGCACACTGGCTGGTGAATGGAGGTGCCAGCGAGGGGAGTGAGGGAAAGGAACATGTAGTAACTGTGCTGCCATGCAGACGACTTCTGAAAAAGGGTCACAAAGTACCTTGTGCCCTTCTCCACTTCTGAAAAGATTGTGTGTGTTCAGTAGGGTGAAAAGAAAATTCCACCTATTTAAGACTATAACCTGGGTTCATTATTGCCTTAGGTTACAATAATTTTACTGACATGTTTGTCTGTAAAAACAAATGAACACTTAATTTACAGAGGAAGTGTTATAGCTTCTCTTTCTCTGGTAAAAAACCATGTCAATAGTAGGATGAGTGAAGATCTTTACCCCTTCTACTCATTAGTACTATTAGATTCAATTATTCTTAAATTCTTAGGAGGAGAAACTATTCATATGTTGAAAATCTTTTCCTGATTCAAAATAATTGCAAAGTCCACAAAGTTAATAAGATTATGTGTAGTTTATGTGGATAAATGCCAGTAATTTGAGTTGGGGGGGGAGGGAATATCCACACATTTGTCCATGATGTCTAAATTCATCATGTTGGTCATTACTATTTCTTCTTCATCACCATACTTTCCTTTTTATTGTTCCTGCTTGAAATACAAGCACTACAGTAACACCTCCTGAATTAATAAAGACTATTTAACATCTTGATTGTCTAATTCCTATGGTAATGAACCATTGTCACTTTGTTTATCATTTGATTGTCGGGATATGTATAAATATCAAGGGCATGCATTTGTACTTCCTGTGTCTGAAGAAGTGGATTTTGATCCACAAAATATCACATTGAAATAAACACATTAGTTTTTAAACCACCACAATATTTTGTTTTCTCTCTCTTTTCTTTCTCTCTCTCCCTCTTCAGCTCCAAAACACTGAAAAGACCAATAGAACTACTTCTTTGGGTATAGTATGAATTACTGAATTAATTCAAGTTTGTTGGGTATAGTATGAATTACTGAATTAATTCAAGTTTGGCTTAAGAACCACATCAGTCAAAGGCCAGAAAAATCCTGTGCCTATCACTTCATGCAGAATCACTATACAGTAATTGCCCTGTTCCAGCAAGGAAGTACAAGAGAGCAGAGTTTTTGCATATGTATTAATCAGACAAGGAATAATGTGTTGAATATAATATGCAGAATTGCCTGGATAGATCCTATGGCCAGAACCCTGCATGTGTCTTTTTGCTTAAGTTAGAATGCAGATAACAAGATGTATGGAATAATCTGGACAGAGTTTGGAAAAGTTACTCCCTCGGACTAAAACTCCTAGAATCACCCACTCAGTATGGCCAATGTCTACGCTAGCTGGATCTCCAATTCAGTGACTCCTCTGAGTGGAAAGCTATGGAAACTGTTGACCAAAGAAAAAATTTCTCCAGACTTTATATTATACATATATTATCAAAAGCCCCAACTAGGTATGTGATAGATGGCAAGCTAGTGTCCTAGGGAAGAACAAGGGCCAGTGTCCCTAAGACGTGCCTGTCAGAATTGCCTCCTTTTCCTTCTCAAATTCTGACTTCACAGAGCTTAGAGATATTGCTTTTATCTTGGACAAGAGCTCCCAGAACACTTGGGAATCTTCTGAGTATTTCTGGAATGTTCTGGCTGGACTATCCTGGGAGCTAAAAGTAGCTTCTTCAAAGAGGCTTAACCTTGATTTGTCTAGAAACATTCTCAAATTCCTCTTCACACACTTCTTGGGGTTTGTGAAGTTCCCAATAATAAAGCTACACTGCCTCTTCTTCTTTGAAGCCCTCTGTGGCGTTCACCCTTGTGGCACCTGCGTGTTGTGCCCTCACAAAGGCTACTGTCGCATTTTCCTCTCACTGTCCCTAGTGGATTACCTCAATCCACAATATAAATGACATTTATCAGGACGCTTGTCTTGTGAACACAAACAGAACTTATTTATTGAAGTGAAGCAGATTTAATAATAACAGAAGTTCTTCAGATAAACATTGTACACAAGCAAATCATTAACACTTCTCTCAGAACATACTTTTCTCTTGCAATATTTCCACCTTCTCTACCTATTTTCTTACCCAGCCTTCTCACTCAGTATCTGTTCCCTCTCTCTCTCTGACTAATCAGCCTTTATCTCTATCT